GCGCTCAGGTTTAATGGGGGGTGGAATGACAGAGGAAGAAGAGTAGGGAGTGATTTTTTATTTCACCACCATCACGGTCGCGTCGTTGCCGCCACCACCGATACCGCTGAATGACCTTTGGGAGTGGGAGACGACGCGACGGGCGATGGCTCCATTCCGACAACGGTCGTTCACCACCGCCGTCGCCGCCGCTGTCGAGCGAGACAACAATGATGTCAGCGTTGTCGTTTCATGGGGAAGCCAGCAGGTTGTACATCAGTGGGGGAAAGGGGAAAGTCGATGTTACGGGGGAAGTGGCAGGGACCCGAAGGACCCGAAGGATCCCCGATCATTAAATGGGTTATTACTCATCTCCTCACCAGTGTCATTCCGACCTAATGAGTTCTGCCCTTTAAGCCCAGGCTGATTACGCCAAGCTCTTCAGCTCCCGGGCTCATGTTCCATACCCCTCCTACTGGTTGCCACGTAATGGTGGCATTGTTGAATGTCGGCGGCGTGGTCGTCGACCGAGGGGGGACCAAACCAACACAAACACGCGCACCACGTGCTGTGATCGCTTGGCGGATTGCAAAGAGAGGCCGCCCAGGGATGTGCCGACAAGGCTACCCAGGGCTCACCATCTCGTCGTAGGGGCTCTGGGATCGTAACGAAAAGTGCCATCGAAGAGGACGCCGGAGTTTGAGGAACCCGTGGAATGTGAACAATGAACCCGTGAAGAGTGAACACGAAATGTTTACATAGGGCATATGGGCGTTTTACAACCCTAAGGCTGTTCACCGATATCACCTGCTGGCTTACTAAGCTTATCAGTGAGTCATAATTGTCCGGGTGGGCTTTTCCTTTCTCCACTGGGGAAAGGGAAGGGTACCAACGGCATCTTCCAGGCGCAATGCTCTCAGCTGGACTCTGATATCTCCCTGTGACATCAGTGAGTCGTAGCCATTGTGGGCGGGGCATAAGACGTTAATTGCTACAAGTAACATGGATTATGGGAGTACTCTCTAGGTATCGCCGTAGCCGAGGCGAAAGAATTGAAGTGAATAGGGATATTCCATTGCCTTCTACACCTCATAAGGGAGGAAGAACGGGTTTATCGACAGCGACAATCTCGACCAGTCAATCTCGTCGTCATGTGGTGGACATCGCAATCGGCAATCGGCGTTTCTCTCTGAAGATTGCACTGTTCGAGGTTGTTTTCGTGATGGGACACACCGAAACACCACCCATCTCCACCATGTCATGGCGATTTCGTTACACTTCTCGGGTTTCAGTGAAACCATCCTTCGTGGAGGATTCCGAGGACGATTTCAGGGCCCTGATACATGTATAATTCGAATGTGAGGGGGCCAAATGAGGAGCGAACTTGGTCGGAGGGGTTCAGATTCTGCCATCAGAGCTGCTTACTGTCTGCCGAAAACAATTTTGGGCTCCCAAAACCGGTTCATCAAGCGTTGCTTATCTCAAGCAAGCTGGAGTGCAGGAAGTAGGCATGCTTGCGAATTCAACTTCATTGGAAGTGTGGTGCATGGCGCATTCGAGGATCAATGAAGTGTAGTTGAGCACTGCACCGCTATCAGTGGATCACTAAGGAGTGAATCGAGCCGAGAGAATATTACCCTTCGAATTTATCCCCACCTTATGGAGTACCATGTCTAAGGAATCGTGGCAAGATACTCAGGGCTGAGGATTCGATTCCGATCCTAAGCAATTTCCAGTCAAGAAAGCCAAGCCTGCTGTCGTATCAATCTCTAGAAATGTCCGTTGCCATTTCGGCTTGCCACCACAGCGTCGGCGGCACTCACGTTATTTCGCTGTCTTGTCATGTGGTGTTCTCTCGTGTGTGGGGAGGTTTACGACCAGACGTGTTATTAGTGTTGGGACGGGATGGGGTGGTTAGAAGATGAGTGCTCAGATAGACGCGATATCGTGCAAACGACGTAGAAGCACGAGAAGTTGGTTGGTGCCAGTGGACGGGAATCTTGGGGCAGGGTGAAGATAGGGAGACCTTGTGCCGAGCTGAAGGATGGAATTCTTCCAATCGAGGGATGACCCTCAAATTATCGGGCATAAGGTCCTCTAAAAGGAATTTAGGGAGCTATAAACTGATTGTGGGGAAGTCAAACATGAAAAACATGGTGTCAGCGAATCCAGTCAAGTCGCGCCATGCGTTCGCATCCCTTCCAAAATTCAAAAGGAGCCTGTCAACAGTAGTCTGGTTCTATCCGTCCAATCGTCAGAAGCATGGTCAATAAAGCCAAAAGATGTGAAAAATCGGCTATAACTGGAATATCTCAGAGTGGCCCTTTCGTTTACAGGAGTTCAGACTCCCCCATCAACGACTATTCGCTGAGTATAGGACTAAAAATATGGGAAACTGCCCATTGGAGCTCTTACTCTGCGTTTTCCCACTTCCATCAATCAAACAAGGCCCTTTACGACCACTGATATCATCAGCTGAGTGACTAGGCTTATCAATGGGTCACAGTGGTCGCTGATCATTGTTTTGCCCAAGAATCTATTTGGGTAATGACGGATGATTCAGCTGCTCTTCCCTAGTTAAAGTGAAAATGAATTGGTCAATCAAGAAAAGGACCCCGTTTGGATTACGCGATTACGGTACTATACATAGTACCGTAATTTTTAATCAAATTTTCGCGAATATTCGATGTCTAAGGAAAGCTTTTCATCCGATTTCCAGTTTTATAATGTTGTTCGCTGAGTTACTACGGTTTCGGCACGGTTATAGCCGTGAGAACTACGCCTTAGCACATTAAGAAATCGAGGACGGCTTGTTTAGACGGCTTTCGTGACTGGTGAGTGAGGAGGCATCCTCTCAGCAACATCTATCCTCCGACTGACGAGTCTGCGATCGTTTGAATGGACGACGACGACTGGATGGCTGGCTGGCCGACGACGGGCTGGTTGCTCGTGGGCAGTCGAGAGGAAAAGAGAGACGACGACGGCAATATCGCAAATGTGCGTGTGTGTATGTGAGCCTTGGCTCTCAGACGACATAATCTGCTGCTGCTGCTGCCGACAACGTCAACGGCGCCATTTATCACCGTCTACGTTGCTGGGGACTGGCTTACCCTACCACAAATGGGCATTATTGCTTCTTTGAAAACGAAAAGTGAGATTTCGGGGAAGGATCATACATTGGTGATGTAGCAGAGTAGGGCTAAAGCTCTTAGTGCCGCTCTGTTGGCTCTAATGCCCTTGGGGAGTATAGAACATTGATGAGCAGTACGGTGACAGCTTCTAGGAGGACTAGCTAAGTGCTTGGGGTAAGGTGCCTGGGTAAGTCATTTGGTAGGCGGCTTATCAGGTATTCATCACCCATGATGCATGGTATTTGTCTAGGCCTACCAGAAAGTGAAATTTGCTGCCCATGAGGCAGTTGTTAGGGAAATCAGGATGCTAAAATCAAAATGAAGTCATTACTTGGTAACCCAGAGTAGAGCTGAAGTCGAGCCCACCTTCAGGGCTCTAATAGGTAAAAGGTTCTGTGCATAAAGGTGGTTGTTAGGATTGCTCCGGCTGATGACTACCTCTTCTGAGTGGCGATAAAAAGCGGAATGGTCAATGGACTCATTAGTACCCATTACCCGAGCGCAGTTAATTGAGTGCCGAAACAGGTGCAAACTCACCCATTCTTAGGAAGCTGACAAGATCGGACGGAACTTGACGTTTGAACTGACACTGCAATTCAGTTTCCCAACAGTTTATAACTAATTATACAGTTCCGGCTGTAGCTACCGTACTGAGAAAAGTGGAAGAGGTTCGGGAGAATCCCGAGACTCCCAGGTATTAGGAGATATCACATGTCTGGTAAGAAGTGCGCTAGAAAATTTCAAGGTGCTATTCACTGTAGCCTTCTTTACGTACCAGATTCTTCGTGAACAAGAAGATCACCTATGCAGATCTGCAGCGATCATAGAGAACACACCGAAATCTTCTCAGATTTTCTGGTCCTCTCAGATCACTCCTTTTAGAAGAAGCTCTGATCATTTGATAATTCATTTTTATGTAATCTTCCGATTTTGATTCTGAAGTTGGAAAGTTAGAAAAGTGATTCTACCAGTTTTTTAGGTTCTGCTACTGCTAGCACCAATGGGATCGCTCCACCACCGCAACCAGCACCACCACCGCCACCACCGACCGGTGTTCCTTCAACATCGGCAGGAAACGCCACGACAAATCAAAGCACACGACGACTTGAACCTGGCGAGGTTTCTGCATCGAAAAGGTAGAATTTTGATACAGATGGTGGCTGATTAGATTGATAATCCATCGACAGATATAGGAAGTTGACAGAGGGTAGGAGAGCTTTGGCCAATTAGGCTAAACCGGATTCTGGCTCGATACCAGGGAGTGGAATGTGGCAAGAGATGTCGAATGAGAGTCATGTTGGAGAGATTTTAAGATCGCCTACGCTGGGCATTTTGCATTTTCCAGTTTCCTGGGAATTCCCCTCCTGAAGGAATTCACTATGGGCATCGTAGTTCTAATAATGGTCAATATTTAAGAGGACTAATTTGAAATCACAAAGCGAGCATTCATTCTTCTCACGGCTGTTGTGTTCGACAGTTTTGTACTGAATTAATAGGAAGTGTGTCAGTCACAGCCGGCCTCGGCAGAGGTGGTACAATCCCCGATCAAATCCTATCTGCAATGTTCTCAAATCGGGTAAACTACCGTTGACAGTGCCTGGTAATCCAGTCGCGACCGAAACAAATCGGTCATCGAGCGATGTATAAAAGTAAAATAAATATTGTGACTTCTATAGACAAACAAATCACGGAAAGGTAAACAACTGCAAATGTAAAGATGATGAAATGTAAATAATGCAAAAATATCTTTTGATTAGGTAGTCTCTTATTCTCTGACCGCGAAAAACCTATTGTTGGATGATCCCAGTAAGAGAGGGAATATCGCCTGAGGCACAAAAACCTATTGCTGTGCACTCTAAAGGAAAAATCTGGTTAATAGGTCCGTACAAAAACGAGAATTTGGCGTAGATCTAGAACCTTACCGTAATCCTACGCAGCGATAGGTCCTATGGAGCCTCATAATGTGATATGCACTATGGGATTGCAGTAAAAACTCAGGTCCACACTGGCATTTTGTTCTCGCTTGAGTCCAGTCTTTTAGCTAGTCGATTATTTTTGTCAAAAAAATTGCTCATTCGAGAAAGATTCTGTACGAAACTACGGCAATTGAAAATTACGGTAATTTGAAGTCGTTTCTTCCCTCCACTTGCTTATTTTGGGGTGAGAAAAATCAAATTTACATTATATCCTCTCTATACATAGATGGGAATTGAAATGAAGATCGAAAATTCAAAAATAACGATTGGTCATTTCAGTTCATCGTTCATGAAGGCATTGGGCAATATGAATAAGAGCATGTTGGATGCGGCCATGTTGCAGCTGCTCGCCTCACAGATGATGAGCCAACAGGCTGCCGTGGCCAAGATAAATGGGTACGTTCAAATCACGGTCACTGTCGGTGACAACTGCACAATCTAAACTGGTCGTCGTCATTGGTTACTGTAGCTCAGTCCATAGTGGTAGTAAGGGTAGTCAAATAGTGCCAAGCTTGTTCTCCTCAAAATTTCTCTCCTTTCTGGTTCGGCCTGTTCTTGTGAAGAAGCCAGGTCAAGAAAGCGGTGAATGAACTATACATGAGCAGATTTGAAAACATTTATAGTTAAATTCTTTATAGACTACGGTATCCGCAGACTTGGGAGATCATTTCGGACCGATTTACAATCTGAAAGTTTTAGGCCTATCCTTCTCCTACCTATACCTGGGCATTTCCATTTTCCTAAGACCCGAACCTGGGCATTTCCATTTTCCTAAGACCCGATCAAGTATTTGAATGATCCTTGCGGGAACCCTATTCTTCCTCCTTCCTTCATCCCTCATTTTCTGCCAGTATAGTAAAGTAGGGATAGGATAAGGATTACCACACAGGGAGTGGGGATTACCAGCACATTCTGGACTGTAACAAAAATTAAATGCTGAAAAGTAGGCCCTATAGGGACAGTGGATTCCTTTATCCCTTCCCAACCCATCTTTTCTTCTTCGCCCGCCTAGTTGCTTGACTTGGTGTTAAAGGAGTTCGCTAGATGGGTTTCCTCAAAACGACGGCTCAGGTCTTGCTGTCGTCGCAATTTTCTGGAATTCCGTCAAAAACATTTTTTTATTTTCAACATCCATGTTGGAGACTATTTCAGAACTAAAAATAACAGCAACATTCGAGCAACGAAGAAAGAAGCGGCTCAATTGGCTCTAGATCTCTCCGCTAAGACAAAAGCTGAGCCAGGTAAGAGGCTTGAAAATTATCGTTCTCCTCTTTTCTTTGAGAGATTTCTTTCCGAGACGCCTCACTTTATCTGCCATTGAGTAGAGCTAGGAATAATTCTTTTACAGGGCCATCATCAGACGGTACCGAAACGCGGAGCAGTGCCACTCCATCAGAAGGAATCGGTGGCGAAGTTGGAAAGAAGCGGCCACCAGCAACGGAATCACAAGCCAGAGTGCCTCTTGCGTTGGGGTAAGTCTACCGCAGAATGGTTCAGATAATCGATACCCATCCTTGTTATAGAGCTTTTGTGAACTGTTGCATTCATGGGGGGAGCTTTAAGTGGCCGCGATGACCTCCACCTTAGGGCCATTCACATATGGTAAAAGGCCTCACATGGGGATATAAGTATCAGGTCAGCGCACCACTGCCTAAACTGAAAAGGTGACACGATCCTGCGGGGAACGGTGTGGTTTCCTGGAAAGTGAGTAACTAGTAATTACCGCACCGCACAGTTATGCCACACATGGGAAGTTCCCGCGCGGTACCGTGAGCCCCCACGACGTCGGTTACCCGCCCATTCAATCTTGTATAGCTCAAGCAAGCGCTCATCGGTATTAGTGTCACCTATCTAGGTATTAAATTGAAATTGAAACAGGAATATCATAGGAAGTTTTCTGAAGAATTTATTTGAATTACTGTGAACCTATAATAATAACAATCCTAGAATTCGCATCAATGTGAAATATTGGGGAGGACTGGGCTTCAGCTCTTTCAGGGATGCGCAGCCTGGGTAATTTCCGTTTAAGTCAACCAGTATGGGATTCGAATGGTTACTCTGTCCCCAACCTACTAAGTTGTGGGTGTCGGTCAACGATAACGTCCGTTGTCAGTTTCCGGTCGCCCCCGAACAAATCTGTTCCCAATCAACAAATCGAGTAACTTTACCTAGGTAACATGGAGCCAGGTAATTGGGCTTTTCGTCGTCTGCCCCTTCGACCCATTTGAAACCAAGTTATTTCCCGAGCAGCTTAGCAAGGCCGATATTCGTGATTTGATATTTTTGTTTGTAAACACTTCTATTTACAGATGGCGTCGTCAGACATGTATTCGAACAATAGCCGCGTCTGGTGTACGAGGTGATGTCGTTTACTATGCACCCTGTGGCAAAAAACTGAGCACCTACGCCGAGGTGTTGAGGGTGCGTCTTGAAAAGATTTTT